GGTGGAAAATAAGTATTTGGTCAATATCAAAAGTTCAACTCAATACTTTGTTATATATCCTTTGTTGGCAATGACAGAGGTCAAATGTTTCCTGTAAGTCTTCACAAGGTTGGCACACACTGTTACTGGTATGTTGGCCCATTCCTCCATGCAGATCTCCTCTAGAGCAGTGATGTTTTGGGGCTGTCGCTGGGCAACACGGACTTTCAACTCCCTCCAAAGGTTTTCTATGGGGTTGAGATCTGGAGACTGGCTAGGCCACTCCGGAACCTTGAAATGCTTCTTACGAAGCCACTCCTTCATTGCCCAGGCGGTATGTTTGGGATCATTGTCATGTTGGAAGACCCAGCCACGGTTTATCTTCAATGCCCTTGCTGATGGAAGGAGGTTTGCACTCAAAATCTCACGATACATGGCCCCATTCATTCTGTCCTGTACATGGATCAGTCGTCCTGGTCCCTTTGCGCAGAAACAGCCCCAAAGCATGATGTTGCCACCCCCATGCTTCACAGTAGGTATGTTGTTCTTTGAATGCAACTCAGCATTATCTCTCCTCCAGACACGACGAGTTGTGTTTCTACCAAACAGTTCTAATTTGGTTTCATCTGACCATATAACATTCTCCCAATCCTCTTCTGGATCATCCAAATGCTCTCTAGCAAACTTCAGACGAGCCCTGACATGTACTGGCTTAAGCAGGGGATCACGTCTGGCACTGCAGGATCTGAGTCACAGGCGGCGTAGTGTGTTACTGATGGTAGCCTTTGTTACGTTGGTCCCAGCTCTCTGCAGGTCATTCACTAGGTCCCCCCGTGTGGTCCTGGGATTTTTGGGTGTCCTGGGTGAGATCTTGCGTGGAGCCCCAGATCGAGGGAGATTATCAGTGGTCTTGTATGTCTTCCATTTTCTAATTATTGCCCCCAGAGTTGATTTGTTCACACCAAGCTGCTTGCCTATTGCAGATTCAGTCTTCCCAGCCTGGTGCAGGTCTACAATTTTGTTTCTGGTGTCCTTCGACAGCTCCTTTGTCTTCACCATAGTGGAGTTTGGAGTGTGACTGTTTGAGGTTGGGGACAGGTGTCTTTTATACTGCTAACAAGTTCAAACAGGTGTCATTGATACAGGTAATGAGTGCATGACAGAGGAGCCTCTTAAAGCAGAAGGTACAGGTCTGCGAGAGCCAGAAATCTTGCTTGTTTGTAGGTGACCAAATACTTATTTTCCATCATAATTTGCAAATAAATTCTTTCCAAATCAGCCAATGTGATTGTCTGGATTTTTTTTTCTCATTTTGTCTTTCATAGTTGAGGTCTGCCTGTGATGCCAATTACAGGCCTCTCTCATCTTTTTAAGTGGGAGAACTTGCACAATTGGTGGCTGACTAAATACTTTTTTGCCCCACTGTATATATATATAGTGTATATGCACGTTATTGACTAGGCAAGCATCTCACTGAGCTAGATATATTTTACACAACAAAAGGATAAAATAAGGACTCCTTACTATGTTAATTTATGCAAGAGGCAATTGCCTTACCTTTATTATGTTAGGCTAACCTGTTTTTGGATAAATATGTGGAAAGTCTGGGAGGTTCAGAGCAGGTTATTTGAAAATCTACCACCATTGTAAAATGCAAGTGTGATTAGATTTGAAAGGGTCTTAAATATTCACGTCCACAGAAGACAACAGTGGTGGATGATCGCAGGATTGTCTCTATGGTAAAGAAAAACCTATTCACAACATCCAAACAAGTGAAGGACACTCTCCAGGAGGTGGGCATATCGTTGAGACAGAGGGTTCACCACAAGGTGCAAACCATTCATAAGCCTTAAGAATAGAAAAGCCAGATTAGACTTTACCAAAAAAACTATAAAAAGCCAGACAAGTTTTGGAAAAAAGCATTCTTTGGACAGATGAAACTAAGATTAATCTGTACCAGAATGACAGGAAGAAAAACGTGTGGAGAAGGCTTGAAACAGTTCATGATCCAAAGCACATAAAGTCATCTGTAAAACATGGTGGAGGCATTGTGAAGGCATGGGCATGCACAGCTTCCAGTGGCACTGGGTCATTGGTGTTTATTGATGATGTGACAGAAGACAGAAGCAAGTGGATGAATTCTGCAGTGTTTAGAGATATACTGTCAGCCCAGATTCAGCCAAATGCAGCAAAGTTGATTGGACGGCATTTCACAGTACCGATGGACAATGATGCAAAACACACTGCAAAAGCAACCCAGGAGCTTTTGAAGGAAAAGAAGTGGAATATTCTGCAATAGCCAAGTCAATCACCTGAGCTCAACCAAATTGAGCATGCATTTCACTTGCTGAAGGCAGAAAGAACCACAAAGAACAACTGAAGACGGCTGCAGTTAGAGCCTGGCAAAGCATCAGAAAGGAGGAAACCCAGTCTTTGGTAATGTCCATGGGTTCCAGACTTCAGGCAGTCATTGCCATTAAAGGATTTTCAACAAAATATTAAAAATAAACATTTTATTTATGATTATATTCATTTGTCCAATTACATTTGAGCCCCTGAAAATGGAGGGACTCTGTATAAAAATGGTTGCAGTTCCTAAAATTTGTTCTTTCTTGATATTTATGTTCAACCCCTTGAATTAAAGCTGAAAGTCTGCACTTCAAATTCATTTGGATTGAGCCTCCCCCCCCCCCCCCCCCATCGGCTCTTTTGCCTGCCCTCTCCACTGTGTAAACAGACGGCTGTACTATGACAAGGGAGAGGCCAGCTGCAGGTTGTCTGTTTAACTCCCCACTGCCCCCAACTCCTGTCAGCAGCACAGAGTTTAACCACAAGAGAGGACTGTGTATATGGACTCTCTTCCCTCTGTCTCCTAGCAATAGCAATGGATCAATCAGCAGTAAGGAGGAGAGAACCAGATGTTTCCAGAAAAAGGATTCTCCTCAGAGCATGACAGGAGTGTGACAGGATTGTGTCAAGAAAACACCATATAAGAGAGAGAGCCTGGTTAGCAGAGCCCACAGACATGTGAGAGACATCCAGAGGGTACAGAACGTGACCCAAGGATTGAGGGATGACTACTTACCAGAGTCATCACGGGCAACAGAGTGAACACATACCCAATCCGAGAGACCACTGCTGCTGTGACACTGGGTCTGGGAAGTGGGCCTTGCAGCCGTTACTTGTTACCACCATTAGTGACTGAGCCATTAAGAACTACCTGTCAGTTACTCCATAAATCTAATACTGTCTGCAGGTCTTATTGACTGCCTTAACCTGTACCAATGCGCCCCAACGTTTAGCCAGCTGAGGAGTCAGGACCAAAGATTGCCCCTAGCAGTTGCTGCCCTGTGGTTTTTTTTTTAAGTTAAAGAGGTACCGCTTAAGAGACGGTGCATCCCAGCTAATCCCTTAGAGTGCACTCTAACCTAGTGTAGTGTTATCATCATTTATACTACATTTAACGTTTACTAATATTATTTATTGCTGATTTACTAACTTACCTTCCTGATTCTAGTTATTGGTAAGAAATCTAATGTTTGCCCTTTTAACGTAGTTATTACTCTGTCAAGCAGACTGTGTGATAATCTATCAGCTGTGTGATCATATGCACTTTATTCTAACCTGAATCAACAGATTAAGAGCATTTACCACTAAATGGGCATGTGTCTATTTACTGATAGTAACACACAACCAGGTTAAAGGTTTTTACACTTGCTTATGTATTCATGCTTACAGTGATTTTTACTCAACCAGCTGTGTCACAGCGACCGAGATTGTTCTTGGAGTCGAGGCACAGAACAAAGAACCCAAAGTTACCAAGTGGCTTCTTCAGAGGTAGCCCTACACATGCCTTACTCAAAAAGGACGCAGAATAGCAGTGGACCCAAACCTACTTTGAGGCTGTGCATGCCTTATAATACTGTATAGCATCTGTACCAACACTTGTACATTTTTCACTAAATGCACCAATGTTTGTCTCTTGTAATGCTTCCACTGTTGCTTTACAGTAGGGGCAGTTTTATCACAAATTTATGAGGTCGAGGAACATCCTCTAACTTTTGCTTCTCAAGCTCTTTACTCAGCTGAGCAAAAGTATTCTGGAGAAGAACATGAGGCACCAATTTCTTCTTAATACAGAGATGGAAAGACAGGCTGTTTCAGTACAACTCCAATTTACTGTAGGAGTGGTTATTCCTTCAGCTACTACAGAGTGGTTGGAGGAAAAAAAAAGATCTAAAAAAAAAAAAAAAAAAAGATTCCACTGCTGTTTTGTTGGTGCAGGAGGAAACGGAAAGGGAAAAGATGAGTTTTAGATATCACCCTCTCTTGGAGGAGTGATGGGAGGAGGAGGAAATCATGGTAAATATCCAGCAGCTTGGGATTGAGGCTTTTCCCTATTCTTTCATACAGGCTGAAGACAACAATGAAGAAACATTGCCTTATCTTCTAGATCAGTGCCTGCTTAACCGCTTGCCTACAGGGCACTTATACCCCCTTCCTGCCCAGGCCAATTTCCAGCTTTCAGCGCTGTTACATTTTGAATGACAATTGCGCAGTCAAACAACACTGTACCCATATGAAATTTTTATCATTTTTTTGTGACAGATAGAGCTTTATTTTGGTGGTATTTAATCACCTCTGGGTTTTTTATTTTTTCTTAAACAAACCAAAAACCACTGAAAATTTTGAAAAAAAAAAATTTTTTTTCTTAGTTTTTGTTATAAAGATTTGTAAATAAGTGATTTTTCTCCTTCACTGATGTGCGCTAATGAGGTTGCACTGATGGGCACTGATAGGCTGCACTGATGGACACTGATAGGTGGCACTGATGAGGAGGCACTGGTAGGTGGCACTGATGGGCATTGACAGGCATCACTGATGGGCACTGAAAGACAGCACTGATACATGGCACTGATATATGGCACTGATAGGCAGCACTGATAGGTGGCACTGACTGGCACTAATAGGTGGCACTGAATGGCACTGTTAGGCGGCACTGACAGGCACTGATAGACAGGACTGACTGGCACTGATAGGCAGCACTGACTGGCACTGATAGGCGCCACTGACTGGCACTGATAGGTGGCACTGATTGGCATTGATAGGTGGCACTGACTGGCACTGATGGATGACACTGAAAGGCAGCTCAGATGGGCACTAATATGTGGCATTGATGTGCACTGGTAGGCACTATGTGGCACTGGCACGAGGAATTGATGAGCACTGACATAAGGCACTGATGGACACTGACAGGTGGCACTGCTGGGGCTACACTGATCATCAGGGCACACTGATCATCAGGGCCCTGATGATTAGTGTACATGTCCCCTCTGCGGAAAGCCGATTACCGGCTCTCCTCTCGAGCTGTCAGTGTGACAGCTTGAGAGGAGAGAAATGCCGATAACCGGCATTTCCCTGTTTACATGTGATCAGCTGTGATTGGACACAGTTGATCACATGACCGAGCCGACATCTTCAGCTCTTTCCATGATCGGTGATCCGCTGTGTCCGAGGGACACAGCGCACCGCCGATCGCCACGCTGCGTGCTCCCTGAGCCGCACATGTGCAGTGAGAATGGGAGGACATCATATGACGTCCTCCAAGATTGAGAGAACCACCTTGCGCCCTCATATTACTATATGGCGGGCGGGAGGTGGTTAAGGGGAACTTCACTCTCTCAAATCAACATTGACTATTTTGCATCCTTATGCTGCTAACATTCTAGCATTACTAAATAGAAAGGGAAGTATATCATATTTACTTGTTTTAAACCGTTTTTTTTTTACATTTCTTTAGTTCTTAGTTGCCTATGCAATTCATTTGCCTATGCAAATGATGTCATACATCCTAGGAGTCTTCAGGAAGGGAGGAGGAATTTGCTCTGCTAAGCAAATCCTCCTGCCTTTATGCCTGAGCTAAGGGCAGATGGATTCCAGGAAGTAATTTCCACTTCAGTCACCTGTCCTTATTCAAGAAGGCCATGTCCAGAGATGCTAAGGGGTTTTTCTAAGTGATTTTTTTTTCAGCAAAACAAAACATGGAAACATGGATGGATGGGGGAGTTTGCTTTAAATATTAACCATTTCCATACCGGGCACTTTTACCCCCTTCCTGCCCAGGCCATTTTTCAGGTTTCAGCGCTGCCACACGTTGGGTAAAATGTTGTAAGACCGCGCAATTGTAATTCAAACTAAAATTTTATCATTTTCTTCACACACAAATAGAGCTTTCTTTTGGTGGTATTTAATTACCACTGGGGTTTTTATTTTTTGCTAAATTAACAAAAAAATGTCATTTTTTTTTTTTTTACATTTTGTAAAATTTTGAAAAAAAAACGTTTTTCTGAGAAATTCCATGTTTCTGTTTATAAAAGTTTGCAGAAATATAATGAATTGTTCTTCATAAATTTTTTAGGCGAACCGAGATGTATTCTGCTACATGTCTTTGGTGAAAATAACCCCAAATTAGGATGTAAAATTTTTAATTAGTTTGTAGGATTAAGTTATAGAGTTCACAAACTATGGTATAGATCTGAATATTGATCAATCCTGAAGTACTGACAGCCAAACTAATTTCTTGAGGTCCAAGAATGTCAGAACAGTACAGATATCCCCCAAATGACCCCTTTTTGCAAAGTAGACAGTCCGACGTACTTCATAAGAGGAATGGCGATTTTTTTTGAAGTTGTATTTTTTTTTTGTCAGAATTCTTCGGAAAATGAAAAAATTCAAAAAATTATTTTCACTATTTTTTTTTTTACATACTGTCACCAGTGCAGTACAGCGTCATCATATAACTGGCATGGCGGTGATCAGGGACACTGACTGGTGACAGTATGAAAAAATATTTTAATTTTTTTTACTTTTTTTTATTTTTAATTCTTTATTACATTTTATTTCTTTTTTTTAAGATTTTTTTTTCATATTTCACTATGACCAAAGTAGTACAGCGTTACCATAGTAACATTGTACTACTTTGGGGAAGTGATCTTTTTTTTTTTTTTTTTACACAATTTGCTTTTAGCAAAGAATTACTTTGCTATTAGCAGGCATTTACCTGAATGACATTGATTCGTTCAGGCTTTTTCTTTTTTTGTGCTTAGCTGTGATTTGGCCACGGCTAATCACACGACACAGCTGTGATTGGCCCAGCTTGTGCATGTGATCGCTGTGACCATTCACAGCTAGGCACACTAGTATACAATGGATGGCATGAATGAAGCCATCCATTGTATACAACTGTCATGTGACCTGCTGTGATTGGTCACAGCAGATCACATGGTACCAGCAACGGGGCCGGTACTCAGATCTGTCATTGGCCGTGTCCGAGGTACACGGCCAGTGACAGATCGCGCCACTGCGCAGCTCTGCAGGCACGCAAACTGTGCATGCCCTGAAAGACACCATATGGCTTCCACCCGGAACACTGAAGGATTTTGCCAGCCGCCATCTGGCCATAGGCCGGGAGGGAAATGGTTAAAAATTTGTTAAACAGCGCTTTTGGTTTGTGATGCTCAGATACAGTGTAGTTACACTTTAAGGAGACCACAGTGCATCCTGTCTTCTCTATCAGCACTGTCAGAAACACTAGTACTATATTAACAAATTTCTGTAGCCTGCGTTCTAGTATGACTATTTTTTTTAAGCAACAGCTGCAGATGAAGGTGCCAGACCATAGGCAGTGCATGAATAGAATTGTCACAACTTTATTTCCCTGATCCATTGTTCCTAAAACATATCTAGTGACACCGTGGAACCAGGGGCCCAATGTGGCCATACAGGTCTTTCCAACCTTACTTTAGCATGGCATGTGGCAATTTCACTGCAACGTGCATAAAGCAATTACCGACTATCTAAAGAGGCTCTGTTACCTAGCCTTTTCTACTATTCCCCAACAATGAGAGGAATTTGTCAAAACTGGAGCAAAAAGAATATGAAACAGTAGTACATGGCAACCAATCAGCTCTCATCTTCGGCTTGTTCAGTTAAGCTTGGAAAATAAAAGATAGAAGCTGATTGATTGCCATGCTCAACTGCTCCAGTTTTGTGTCAGTTGTGCTACCTTAAAAAAGATCTCTCAGTCTGTCTATCTATCTGTTACACAAGTATTCTTATGTCCATCAACAATTATCACATGCTAATGATGCTGTAGACATTACCATTCTCAACCACCTCCTCTAAAAAAACAAAACAAGAAACACAAATTGAAATGAAGTCAGAGATAGTAAGGTAACTAGTATTTTTAGACCGTTTTCAGTAATAGCTCCCATATTTCTATCTGTACATGTAGCCTTTAAGGCTAGCATGGTAAACATGAAAAAGTGGTCTGGTGTTTATCAGCTGGCTGAAAATGTACATTTGAAACATTAACATGCAATATTTAATTTTTTCAGCTAAACATTACTTATTTTAAAAATAATTCTAAGTTCTAATCCTAATTTTATGATCATAAAGAAGAAACATACATACCATCATTTATTAGTTTTACTTGCTTTCAAACTAGCATTACACCTCCACAGAAGCTGGAGGTTGGAGTTTAGCACAAGTCTACATGAGTTTTTTTCCAGATTGCCGTGTTTGAATCAAATATTCTTTTGACTATACAGAGTCCAACTGCAACGCCAAGGGGAAATTCAGCATCTGCCTCTATAAATATGAATTCATTCAGATCAGAGCTCTGTTCTGGGATATAGTTCTTCAGTGACTAGAGAAGCTTCCTATTGTGCAGATTCATTACCATGGAGACAGAAGCATTATAGATCTGTCTCAATGCATCATCCACTAAATTGTTTTGGGACTGACAAGATATCCATTATACACTGCAGATAGGTAGTTACCATGGAAACAGCAGAATAAAGAAGAAACTGCAGTCTGTAAGTATGCATGCAAACTGACGTGCCAATGGGCATAGCAAAAGTTCCCTGGGTGGTTCATGTTATAGATAATTTCAAGTGTTGATTCACTTCTAAAAGTCAGCTATATGAAATTACATATAATTATCTACAGTGTATATAAAGAGATTAATAACAATGCATAGGTAACTTGCAGTGATAAGGTTTTAATTCTTACATAGACAAGTTAAGAACAAACATGTTTACCAGGACTTTTGATTTCATAGTCCAGTTCTCTAAGAATTGTTGGAAAATAGGCACCTGTTCTAACAAATTATTCTGGAAATTTAAAAATGTTGGTTCTCCCCCTCATATATGGTCAGGATTATGGTTGGGCCTAACAAAGTAGCTAACGTCTTTTGAACATTTTCTGGTTTAATGCAATGAATAATGAACAGTGCAGCACCGTGGTAATAATCCCAAGTATCCATACAGTCAATTGGGCAGTTTACAATTCAACATCAAGGCAATTGGTATGCAGAAGTTACAGGTGGCAGTGTGTTCGAGGAGTGCTCCTTAAAATGTGTCCTCTTGGCTAGCATAAAATGGTGTCAGCACCTGTGGTAGTGAGCTCTTATTGATGCTCAACTGGGGTTCCCCAGGGCGCGTAGTCTAAGCCCCAGCCTGCTTGTTCACCAGAGCCCCTGTTGGTGGGGACGGACTTGCAGCAAGCTGGGACCAGGTCACGGCCCCCAGATACACCCAGCCGAGGTGGAGGAGACCACTCGCGGGAGCAGAGTATAACAGGAGAAGACAAACAGAATCCGACAGGCAAGCCGAGGTCAGGACAAGCGGAAAACAAGCAAGCAAGGTCTGAGAACTACGTCTGGGTCGGTACACAAGTATTCAATATAGGATTCAGACAGCCGAAACACACAGGAGCTCCAATAACTAGGAAGTTGCTCAGGCAAAGTGGCCTAGTCTGAGCACATCTTATATAGACAGGCAAACAAGGAGGCGGGGCAGGAAGTGATGGAAGGGAAGGAAATAAAATCCAGAGGACAGCGGACGACGCCCATAGATGAGCACAGACAAACACATGAGAAGGGATCAGGAACAGGACTGCAGCAAGAAGGTAAGAACACAAACGAAACTGCAGGCTAACTTGTGACAAATGGCCTCTTAATAGGGCACATGAATGCTTCAAACCAGTTGCAGGCTGGTACAGGATTATTCCCCAAGTAGACAATAATATTCAGGGGATTTCTGGACCATCCCTACACTGTCTCTACTCACGAAGAACCTTTCCCTGTTCTCATCCTAACTCTTCCTAGCCAGTGTGTGCTCTATCTTCCCATTCCAACGCGTGCCATACTGACCTTGTAAGAGCTATATATAGCCTCTCTGGGTCCAAAATAGTCGCCTAAATCTCCAGAGAATCCCAAATTTGCCACTGGGAGCCTATTGCAGAGGATGAGTTGACTTACCAGAAAGAAGTTTATGTAGTAAACAACAACACTCAGACTCTATGGTATTCAAATGATAGTTGGTATTATTGCATGCCAACAACCATTCCACCAATATGAACCACTGACACAAAAAAGGATGGGCATATGGATTTACACTGTGTACATGTGAGCAGCAGATGGAGAAAAAAATTGTAACTTTGTAAACAACGTTTTTGCAGTTTTCAATTGTCCGGGTTTGATGACCCAGTGGTCACTGCAGCACAATTTTTAGT